ATTCAGCAGCAAGACTGTCCCACAGAGTGGACTAATCAATAATCTGGCTTTTCAGCTTTTAAGTAAGATACATTAGAACTATCGCAATCCAATTTTTAAAGATTAATAGAGCTAGGCCACATGAAACAAATCTCTCTGGGGAACGAGAGAGCAAAATTAGACTCCTCAAAAAATAACTCCTCCATTAAAATCTGGCAAGTCTAAGAAACCATTTGCAATTAATGCTAATGTACTATAATTATGCATTGGAGCTAATATAACACACTATGATGAAGATGGATGCAGATGACATGCAAACCTCTGTTGTGTTTGTGGATTTTGAAATATGCTTCTCTCCTCCCCACTAAGCTACAAATTTTAAGTTGTTACAGTTCAGGCTTTTGTAATTTGGCCTGTGGTTTTCACAGACACACACAAACTTTTTTTGATGATTGTATGTATTGCTTTGACCAGTAAGTTGAAAGCAAATGAGTGTTGCAACACTCATTTGTTCTTTGAGCTTGAGTAAAATAATTGTTTTTTCTAGAAATACAGATAATATTTTGCTGTCTTTCCAATGTAGTTTTAGCTCCGAGGAGTCTATGTTACCTGCTTTATTTGCATTCCCTGTCTTTGATGTTCTGCAGTAACAAAGTGTAATTCATGCCAGTGGCTGGGCCAGGAGGAAGGAAGCGATGTACAGTACTTTGATAATCTGTGCTGTCTTGCTCTCTTGTTAGTGCATGGCATTCTGCTAGCTTTTGTAACCTGAAGAGGACAGGCATAACTTTTTCATGGCTAGTGGCTGTTGTATTTTGCATAGGCTGTGAAGCTGGTGAATTGCTGTTGCTGAGTCATGAGGCACATTTTGGAGATCAACTGCAAAAGGTCAATTTGGTATAAGTGGGTGCAATGATGCCTTCCTCAATTTGCAGGCAGCTTCAGTACCACTTTCACTGCTCAAAAGCTTTGATTACCAAGAGCTGAATAAAATAAAAATGTGGTAGGTTGGCTACCCAAAAGAGTTGGGATATTTGGCTACCCAAAGCAGCAAGAGACACCAGTGCCAGCAGCCACTCACCTGCTTTCCCAGCACCTCTGTGTTTTGACCAGACCCTTCTGTTGGAGTATTATTGCCCCCAGACTTTCTTGGACTTCTCTTTTTCTTCCCTCCCCAAATTCTCTGCCTGCTCGGTGTCTTGATAGAGGTCTTGAGCACAATTTCAGGCTTTGAGAGGGCACTGTAGGCCTCTCATCCAGCAGCAGTCTCCCTGGGAATGAGAGACACTGACATTGCTTCTACTGCAGGGTCCTTCTGTAAGGAAGCCTGAAGGACAGCAATGCTTGAGCATACCAGTCGTTTTGAGCAGTAACTTCACCACAGGAGACCAGTTTGAATCCCTCCATGTGTGTGAACCAGGACTTACCATTGTTAGGAGTTACTGAAGCCGTTATTCAGCAGTTGGTAACCTGAAATTGCAAAGGAAGTGGTTTTGAAGCTATGTTGGTACTGCTTTTTAGAAGAGACAGTCTTGGTCAGGATCCAGTTACATTTAGATCCTCTCCCCTTGTAATGGCTTCTTTTTAATACTCTTTTAAGCAAACTTGTTGCCTGGCTTCTCTGCTATTTTTTTATTATTATTATTAATAATAATTTTAGTTTTGGGAAGTACTTGTGTGTTATTTTTCTGGTGAGTGGAAGAAAGAAATTTCTTTTTAATTGGTGAATGCTCTCAGGGTGGTGGGGTGTGTTTGTAGAAGGCTCTTCTAAAGCTGCCAGTGGTACTTCTAAGGAATACTACCCAAACCTGTGGTATTAAACAACTCTTCAGGTTGCTTTTTTAATGGGTTTAGGTTTTCAGTTAATAGGTGGTGACATTTTCATTTGGTTTTGCAATACGTTAAATAAGGTATATTTAATATAAAAAAGCCATGATCTTTATGTTAGCGCAGCTGCAAGGACTGGGAATAATGGTCTTCCTAGAATGGTTTTGCCATTTTTAAGAAATAATGTGTTCTAACATGCTAGGTAACAAAAATAACTAAGAGGAGGTCTTAGTTCTCTCCTCTTTCTTAGCTAAGTTGTATTCTTACAAATAATCGCATAATGCTAATTTATATTTTTTTTCCCTAGGGTATGGTCTTCATTGCCACCGAGCTATCATCACCATCTGCAAGCTAATTGGCATTAAAGACATGTACGCCAAGGTTTCTGGATCCAAAAACTTGATTAACATTACCAGAGCTCTCTTTAAAGGCTTGACACAACAGGTAGGTTGCACTCTCAGTGGTTCTGTACGTTAGGTTGAAGGACAGAATGGGATTGATATTGTAATAGTTTGTGGACAAACAGTTTCTATTCTAGGCTTAAAATGAAGTAATTTTCCAAAGAGCAAACAAAATCAGCATGTGAGTAATTCCGCAGCAGTTGTATGGAGTTTTCCAGTCAGAAACAGCTGTATGTAACTCTGCCTGTTCCACAGCCATGTGCCTCCAGGGGACGTCTGAATTTCTGGGCTTTCATTTATAATTTTGGTGACATCTGAAAAATCATGGGCAGAGGAAGTTGCGGCCAAGCTTTGGTTGCTGCTGTTTGTCTGCATTCTAAGTTTTCATTGCCTAAGGACCGAACATCACAGCTGCTTCTATTGCTAGTAGTATAATCAAGATCTCTGAAAGAAGTCAGGGAGGTGGTGTCATGACCTCTAACTCAAAGTGCTCATGATGGAGATGTTTCTGTCTGAGCCAGCTGTCTGTAGTTGATGGAAAGATCCAACACACAGCGTTTCATCTGACTTCCTTTGAACACCAGCCTTAGGATGAGTCAGTCCTTGGAAATTCCTGGTTATCTCATTTGGTCGTAAAGTCTTGGTAGCTGCCAGGATTTAGCTGCTTACATTTCCAATATAGCCCTGCAAAGCTGTAGTTGTCAAATCTGTCACCCCGTCCCAGCCAACTTTTTCAGTTTAGCCTCTGGAGGGGAGGGGGTTATGATCCTCTTTGCCTAATGAGGTAGTTACAGATGCTTATCAGTATCTGAGGTTAATCAGACTTGAGGAAGTCTGTCATATTTTCGATGCATTGTCTCTGAGAAGTCTTCCACGGAATGAATAGAAGAAGGGCCTGCTGTATAGATACTGCTTTGAGACATGTGCACTCGATATCTTTTCTTGACTGCCCTAAATGGGAAAATTTTCCTATTGCCAGTAGACATTTATTCTGTAAAGTCTGAGTGTTAACAAAACAACTTGTATGCAAGGAAGAGGTATAGTTGAAAATAATCTTAAATTCATATCATTATATTAACTAGTATTACCTGTCAGGGCAGTAATAAGCACTTTACTGTTGTCAAAGCAAAATTTATATCCATATAAAGACATAAAAACATTACTGCACATTACTAACATGCCAGTATGCATCCTGATTAGCAGGATGTGCCTTTTCTGGCCAGATCCTTTCCAGAAACTGGTTCCTCTAGGATGATATTGTAATGCTAGCATATCTGCAGTCCAGCTACCTGAATTTGTACTGCTTATGCAGTTGACTCATTTGAAACCCATGAGGACGAGCCTGATGAGTCGTTTAATTTACACAGTGTTAAAACTGTTTATTAGTAAATTACTTTTTTTTTTTCGTACCCTGTATACAATGTAGAGTTTGACCTGAAGTAAACAAACACTGTGTATCATTGCTTTGATTGTCTTTTCTCTTTCCTACTCCCAGGAGACTCACCAACAGTTAGCAAACCAGAAGAGCCTCTGTGTAGTGGAGTTCCGGGAGGAGCAGGGCCCTCTGCCCATCGTTGTGGCACTGCCTGAGGGGACTGTCCGTGAGGATCCTGAGCCTGAAGATGATGTTCCAGACACAAAGCTGGAATGGAGTGAGGTGAAAGAAGCTCAGGGAATGAAGAAATCGCCCTGGGTGAATGTCAGACGGACAGTATGGTGAAAGCTTCAGTCCCTTTGTCTCCTCTTCTCAGAGATGCAACTGGGAAAGCCCAGCCCAAATGGACAGGTTTGTCTAGGCTTACATTTCAGAGGAGGGCACCAGTAGCTCTCTCATGCCATTCATATTGCTGCTTTCATTGCTACCATGCAGTAACACTGTTTGCTTTCCCACAATCCTTCTGACCACTGTTTGACTAGGGACGTTCAGATGGAGACAGCCAGTGAACATGACTTGACTTCAAGCATGTATCAACTTGATTCTTGAAGATGATGTTTAATCAACAGACCCCATGTTTCTTTCATAAGCTCTTGGGAAACTACTGAAAAGATAAGATTGTGAAAGCAATAAAAAATCCTCAGAATGAGTTCAGTGTGGGTTTGTTGGGGTCTTTTTTTGCAAAATGCCAGTGTCTGGGAGATCTTGAACCAAGCCACAGTAGTTGGGAGCTAACGTGTGCACTCTCCATCTCCCTCCCTAGGCTCACTCATTATGGTGGGGGAATTGTCAAATCAGGAAGTAGAAGTTGTGTGGCGGGGGGAAAGGGAGGCAAGGTGATGGTGGGCAACAGCTGGAGTTGCACAAGCACTATTCATGCAAGTGGGGGAATTCCCCAAATGAGGCAGAGCCCAAATATCTGAGGACAGTCACCCCACAGTCTCCTGCAGGATATTGCAGTGTTTTGACTGGCATTGTAAGTCCAGTGCAAAACTGCAATCCAGCCTTTCTTACAGTACTGTCCTCTGCGTGTGTGCTAGGACCTAACTTCATTTTCTGCCAATTTGGTACCGAGGACAGTAGAGTCTTGGACCCTACCCAGAACTCAAAGTGCTACAGCTGTCAGAGGATTAAAGGAGAAAGAGAAGGTCCATGATATGCACCAGCTTCTGACTGGAGATGGAGTAAACCCCTTCACATGGCAGATCCCCAGCTGAAGTACATAGAGGTATGTGCTAGATGCTAGATTAACTAACTCACTTGTTGGTGGATCACCCAGGTCCCACCAGAAGATAAACAGCCCCTGCATCCACATGCTCTACCTGGCAACTCCATGTTTTTGTTTGGTGTATAAAGTATTAGAGCAATCCAGGCTATAAAACAAGTCAGGATTTAACTTCTGTGCCTCCTAGTCTGTGAGTGCTTGTCATGGCATTCCTCTGTAAGCTAAAAGATTCTTGTCCCGCCTATTTTGTTAGTACAGGAGAATGTACTTTAGAAATACTTCGAGACCAGCCTGGGAATTTACATTTGTAATTCTGATGTTAAAGACATTTAGGAGGAATATTTTGCATTGATTTCCACTCAGGTTTCTAAAGACAGCAGTTGCGAATATACAAACAGGCATGGTGAATTTAATTGAGTTGTATCTTGCTCTGGTAATGAAAATTCTAATTTAAAGGTGTCATGCCCTGCCAGGCAAGGCGGGAGAGGTGACTCAGGTTGCTTTAAATTCCTTAGGACAGTTGGGTGGCAGCGAAACTCTGGCTTTTCCCTTGACCCCTCCTTGGTCACTCGGTAATTTCTTTCTCGCTGCTAGTGCAGGTGAAACAACACATCATTCTCGGTGGGTCTTTTCTCCATCAGCCAAAGCACTGGGAAGTGTCTGACTGACTTCTAGCTGGTACCTCCAAGAGAATGCACACAAGCCTTACAGGTCCACCTTGTGTGCTAGTAGAAGTGAGGAGCTGCAAGATAAGGAAGCGGCAGGGTGAACGTCATTGCTTTCTTTAAGTTCCGAAAAGGCAAATGTAGTAACCAGCAGTCTGCCTCTTTCCCCAAGGTCTGCACACCAGCTACACTTGCACCCGCTCACATGAGGGTCTTCAGCGCTCCTCTGCTTTGCCTCTGCTCTTGGAGGAGGTTTAGGGCTCTTCTCAGACCCACAGGACAGTAACTCATGTTTGAGCATTTCCGGGCTCAGGTACAAGGCATTTCCATCCCTATCTTCAAAGCAAATGGGGTTTCAGTGCTTGATGCTATTAGCGCAAGGGAGATTAAGGAGGATGAAGGGGCCATGGTCTCAGTGCAAAGATCAGAGGTGGGGAGCAGACCATGGTTGGGTCAGGAGAGGGGGAGGCAGACTGAGCCGGCCATGAATCAGGCTCTGCCACAGACCCACATGGAGCTTTGATCCCTCCATAGAAGTAAACTTTTGTGGGTTTCCCATTTTTACAAGGTTGTTCATAGTAATACAGATGCTTGTACAGATGTTTTACTCAGCATACAGTTTGCTCATCACTCACAGATAAAGCTGGCTGTAAAATGAGAAACATCAGAAACTCCTGCGTTTTCTGTGGAGCTGGCCTTCCTTTTCTATTAAGTGTCTCTGCTTTCAGACTAAGCAAATTCTTCTGCAGTTCTCACTGGAGGCAAGGTATTCAATATACAAATATTTGGGGAACAGCTAATATCGTGGTTAAGAAGCTATTAAACAAGTACCACCAAGATTACAATCTGAGCGTAGTTAATGACTGATATGTCTGCACACTTGCTTTTATCACAGGAGCTGAGGTTTTGACCACCTTCAAGTGGATAGTTTGTTTTAACGGAAGTCTAATTACCTGCTCTCTAGAGTAGATGCTTGCAGCCCTCTTGTTTTGCTGAGGAAGCTGGAGGAGAAGAGCAGAGGTGGAAACTCCAGCTACGCTACCAGTTGAAAGCTGGTGGTGGATGTGGGACTGCAAAAGGCCCACGCCTTTTAACAGTGTGATGGGACTTGTAAATGCTCTGAAAAAAGGGCCAGTCTGTGGGTTTTTAAATGGGCTGCACTATTTAGCTACATCTGCAGTGGAGGGGGAGGATGAATGAGATGGCATGAGGAGGGTGCTTTTGGAGATCTGGTGCCAGCCTGGGGGTGGGGTGGGGATCTGGAAATGCCTGAGCAAATGCAGAGCCTGGGATGGAGCATCCCTATGTACTGGGAGCAGCTCTGCAGGTAAGAACTGCAAAAGTGCCTTGTGGTCAACAAACTGCGAGGGCCAACTGCATGCAAGCAGCACTCAGCAGAGGTAGCTGTCTCACCTTCTGGGGAGCCATGCTAATATGCAATTAATGCCAGACAAGTATCTCCATGCCCAATATTTCCAGTGGAGCGACAGCAAATTCTCAGGGCTCTCTGTGGGGATGAGGCCTGGTGTGTATACGGTAGATGGTTTGTAGGTCCTGGGAGATGCTTGGAGCTCTGGGCCGCATCTCTCCCTTCAGAAGCACTGAGGTGTGCCATTTTCTAGGCAGCTGCCTTGGGCTGCCCAGCTTCCACGGCATGTGGGGCTTCACGGCTGTAGTGAGACAGTAAGATGGCTGGGCATGATGGGCAGTGGAGACCTCAGGGCGCTTTTTGTTTCATTTTCTTTTTTTCTTTTTTTTTTTTTTCATCTTTCCACCATGCAGGGAACACGCATATTGCTGCAACTCACCTGGCACCTCTCAGGTGCAATTCATCAGCCTGGTGCAACAAAGCCACACCTCACCCTGTCACTGTCCTGTGCTGGGGCCCAGCAGCCCTGTGCAAACAGGGACACTCATTCACCTGTAAGCTGTTCAGCTGCGTGGAGTTGAAACCCTCCCCGTGTGGCCCCCAACTTCAAAGTTGCAGCACTGCTTTGTATCAATTCATTTGGATGCAAAACCCTGTGGTGGCCCTTCTCTCTGCCCAGCCCTTCCCAGGCAAAGACTTGGCCCAGGTTACACTGGGGCCACAGGCCCACCCTCCCTCCCAGTGTCCACACCCTTCTCTCCACCCAGTCCCCGGCTGCACTGGGGCTCATGAGCACTCCCATGCCAGCAGCACCCGGCTGGGTTTTTCCAGTGCTGGTTTACAGCAAGGTTATGCTAACGCTGGAGGGAGGTATCTCAGCAAATCGGGTGCGGCCAGAAGGAAAGGCACACGCAGGTGAACTAGTGCAGACTGGTGTAAACTGGTGTGTGGCCGGGAAGGGAAAAGAAAAGGGCAAAGCAAGGCAGGAAGAATTGGGGAGGAGAGATGGGAGCCCTGCCAAGACACAGGCTGCAATTGTGATGGCCACAAGGCACAGGGATGTGGATGTGAGGGGACAGGACCTGGTGCAGAGGTGCTGGCCACACCTGGGTGCAGAAGGTAGACAGAGATTATCGCATCCCAGGGTCCAGGCTATGACCACAAATGTCTGCCTAAGCAGAAAGGTGGCTTTGCGTTTTAATGCTAAATTCAGGTGCATTAATAGAAGCAGGGCAAATCTGGGAACCAAACCCCACCCACCCCACCCCATGATGACGTGATGTTGAAACCAGTTTCAAATGTTAAACCTTCAGAACCAAGTGCCATTGTGCAAAGTCACTGTGAGTTCCCTCCCTGCTCTGAAAAAGGGTTACTTTTTCCAACTCTGTTGCCATCAGCTTGCTTTGTCACACTAACACAAGCAAAACATGTCAGGCTGGTTTTCAGCAAGGAAAAAAACAAGGGAAAAAAATCATAGAATCATAGAATGTTTTGGGGTGGAAGGGACCCCTAGAGGTCATCTAGTCCAACCCCCCCTGCAGGAGCAGGGACACCGCTAACTAGATCAGGTTGCTCAGAGCCCCATCCAACCTGGCCTTGAATGCTTCCAAATCAAATGTTTTCCTCACATTCCAATTAAAAATCCTCACACACATCCCCCTGGCTCTGAAGCAATGGATGTCTCCAAGTCAACTTTTATTTCCCTTCCATTCTCTGGACTGTTATTATCCTGGAACTTCAGACTTAAAACAGAAGCATTTTTTTTTTGCCCCACAAGCTGAAAGGGCTAATTTGGTACCACTGTTTATAAGGCACCTTAACATGTGAAAACACCCATTCTTGGATCTAAAGCCCATTTAAATTAACTCACAGTCATGGTTTAACACCAGTCAGCAACTGAGCCCCACACAGCCAGTGGCTCACTCCCCCAGTGGGATGGGGGAGGGAATCTGAAGGGTAAAAGTGAGAAAACTCGTGGGTTGAGATAACAACAGTTTAATAGGTAAAGCAAAACCCACGCACACAAGCAAAGTGAAACAAGGAATTCATTCACTACTTCCCATCGGCAGGCAGGGGTTCAGCCATCTCCAGGACAGCAGGGCTGCATCACACGTAACGGTTACTTGGGAAGACAAAAGCCATCACTCCAAATGTTCCCCCTTCTTTCTTCCCTCCCCACAGCTTACATACTGAGCATGACATCATATGGTATAGGATACCCCTTTGGTCAGTTGGGGTCAGCTGTCCTGGCTGTACCCCCTCCCAGCTTC